ATACACAGCCTCTCTCTCTCTCTCTCTCTCTGTGTCGTAAATGAACAGTTGATGAATTACACTTTTCTGAGAATAGAACATTGAAGTGGAGATCGCTAAACTGCAAGCTAAGCGGTGTTTTCAGAAAGCAAGCACGTTTATCCACAGTGGAGAGAAAGCGCGTGCACGTTTGCCAGGTTGACAAAGATAAGTAGCACACTTAGCAGATATTTCCGTATTGCAAAAGTGTAAAGCTCTGTTTCAGGGATTACATCTCTTTATATCAGGCAACCCAGTTGTGTTCCTCTGAGGCCAGATTAAACCTTGTTACTACACCAGTGTTGTATGCGATATGCTGGATTAGAGTGGACAAAAGTATGCAAATATTGTTGCTCAGTTCTTACAGGCTTTGTGAGACAGTTTGACAGAGTAAAAGGAGACGAGATGCATGTGAGGTTTTGTCGCCATCTGTGATACTAGCATTGGGAAACTGTACCCTAATTAGCATAAGAAGAATTGATACATTAAATTAGTCTTACAATGTCAGGGTTGTGTAGGAGAGAAGTACAGAGGAGAATTACAGAGAAATAAATCAGAATTGTATGTATGATCAATTAAATACAAACATCAAAAAGGCTATAAAACAACAAGAGAATAAAACAACCAATGAAACTGACTAAAAACACACCAAAACTATTTTTTAATTAAAGAAAATCATTACAAATATTTTGTATATTTATGTTTCTACATTGTTCATTTTCAGGGTTATAACTAAAACTAAAACTGAAACTAACATTAAAACCTTTTCCTTACTTGAAATAAAATAACTATTAACTGCAAAAAAATATATAAAATATTAAAAACTTTTAATTTCACAATTTATTGCCAATTTAAAATCTTAAATTCCAAAAAAAAAAAATCAAAACGTATTTTAATTTAGTTTAATTTCTTTTACTAAAATAGCTAAAACTTAAGAAAGGCAAAACCACACAGCGACATTATAAAAAATGCAACGAAAATGAAAATGGAAAATATAAAAATAAAAACGGATTTTATATATATATATCATTTTTTTAAGGGAAAATTTATATGATCATTTATTTAACTAATTATATAATCTCATTGCAACTATACAATGAATTTTCTGACTTTTCTAAAATTTGATCATTACTAACTTTTTCTAAATTAAGAATTATATATTAATAGGAATAAGCATAGCAGAAGGTATACCTCGAAAAAGATTACATAAATGCCAGTTCTTTGTCAAGTTATGCATCAGACAAGTATGCAATGATCTGAGAAGAATCAAGAGGCCAAAAGCACTTCATATTTATAACATTTAAGAGATATTTGTGACTCAACTGCATCAAGTAGATTTGTGCATTTTGCGCACACACACACACACACACACACACACACACACTCTCTCTCTCTCTCTCTCACACACCTCTCTCTCCTCTCTCTCACTCACACACACACACACACACACACACACACACACACACACACACACACATCTCGCTCACTGAAAGGATGGCGGTGGTTAGGTGTGAAATCACGATGTGTTAACAAGACTGACTCCTCCTGTGAGCACACACACTCCGATTCATAACCCTTAAAATAGCATTTGTACCTGTAAAAGCTTCTCATGTTGGCTTCGGCTAAGCAATATATTTCTCCGTCGCAGTCCAGAGGCGCTTCATACACCTGACACAACACAGGGTCCGCTGAACTGAAAAAGCATGATACATTGATAAATTTATATCCTGACCGTAATTAAAGGATTAAAAGCCGTTGCTTTCCCTCATCATGATCAATGATGGTTTAATTTCACTCAGAAATGAATATTTCCGCATCTCATTCCCACGTCTAATGTAATGAGTGAACATAGCAAGTTCACCATAGCCAAAGGCCAAATGGACACGATTTTTCACAATAGAAAAAAATAAGACAAATGCAAAGGAACAGTACTAGAAAATGAGTTTCTACTGATCCATCAAGCTTGTATTTGTCTTCTGTGGAAGTGGATAGCAGTGCATCAGGAATTCAGTTTCCTGTTCCAAACGTCCTCCTGGACTAATCACCGTGTTTTCATTAATTACACGGCACTCAGTGGATTTGAACATAACTAGAGCCACATGTAGACAAACGTCAGCAAAAATCAGATAGCACGCATGTACTTTGAGTGTGAAACTGTTTTTACGTTACATTTATAGCTCATTATTTTTGTCTTTTTAGGGATGGAAGACAAATGAAGGATGCTAAAGGAAGCATGGGAAAGATGTGATCTGGATACTTTCATATCACTTCAGTGAAAATAGCATCAATCAGAGCTCACATATCATCATACGAAGATGCAGAAGATGGTTCAATCAAATGGTAAAAAATATAATATAAACAAAAAATTCCTTAAATGTATGTCATATGTATAAAACTACATTTTTTTTTTTAAATAAAAAAATATATT